ACCTTGATCAATATGGGTTAGTAGAATGCTGCAAAATATTAGTTTTTTCCGCCAATTGCCAAAAAACGAACGGGTGTTGTAACGGCGTAAATTGACACCATCCTGTGCGGCGGCAAGCTTAGCACTAAGCTAGGTTTTCCTCTTGTCCTATCCCTACAAAATTGAAGGAAATTATACATTTTTTTAAAAAGCACTTACAGGAATTAAATCTTTAGGATAATGATTATCCTTTGCAATTGAAACCTATCCCACTATTGTGATGCACATCAGTTAATTATGTCAAAATTACAACAAAAATGTTACACGATATAATAAAAGTAAATCTTAGATTAATAGAAATGTATTGTTTATGATTAATTTTTGAAGAAAAAATCTAAAACTATTAAAAATTCATCTCTTCCTGTACAAAATGAGTGTAAAATATTTTATTATATGTAGATACTTTACAAGACGCTTATATTTGTAACTCATGATGACACAAGCCCATATATGTATTCTAAACATTACACAGTAAATCTAACAGGATTATACAACGACCTTGAACGACAGTAAAAATCAATAAAGTTGAGGTACAAGTGCATTGTTATGGCATCAGCTGATGACAGAGTTCAATGCACTTTCTTTTGTTCTGTAATAGATTCATAGAAAAAAACGTGGGTACACATAAAAAGCGTGACGATCCATAGAGAAAAAACTCAACCCTTCTATGCTGCAGGTACCCCACACACAACCCTTTACAAAAAGACTTACAAAAAACGGTCAGGGTAGCGAAAGGGTAAAAAAAGGGTTGTTATTACGCATGCGCCACGTGAGATCACTGCCCTCGTTTCTCATTGTAAAATTACTTTTGAATCCATTAAATTTTACAAGTGAAAGTTTTTTTGTTTTTTTTGTAAGCTAAAATAATGTCAATACTTCCTTATATCTACCCTTATATATCCTTATATATACAAATCTTTCCTTATATATACACATAATAAAGCTCTAATTGAGTCGAATCTGTTCATTGAATATTTTTTGGAAAATCTTATTGAAATAGTCATTATTATCGATACAGAGGCCGAATCTATAGTTTTTAGAATTTTTGTTTGTCTGTCTGTCTATCTGTCTGGAAACGCATGACGAGGAAACCACTGGACAGATGTCGATGATGGTATGATGAATTGGTTATCCGGGGCAACATATAGAATACTTTTTACTGCGGGAAAATATCTCATCTCTGAGAAATCTATATTAAACCTTAAAACGTAACTAAGCACGAACCCGAGCGGAGTGAGCGTGAGTCGTTAGTATTTGTAAAATTACTACCCTAACACGTAATATAAATAGGTAATATAATTTCGTTGTAAAAATCAAAGAATCTTTTTCAATATTATTAATTTATACCTTAAAAACCCATTCTACCATATAAGCTGGTTTATATAAAAAAATGTCAAATGAAAAGAGTTTATAAATATCTTGGATTCAGTAAAACATTACGTATTAGACTTTTTTTATACCGGCGAGTCTGAAATCTATTGAGAACTATTCTCATTGCGACGTTATTCACACTTCATTGACAATGCCTTACAACTGAATAACTCTTAGTTTCATACTTATAGTGGTTGCCTGTAGCTTTTGCTGGGCACAACAAAAGATTTTATTCTTTGTAGAAATTCCTATATTTTTTATAAATTACCTTATTCAAGATAAAACATGTAGGTAGACTGTAGCCTAATCTGCATTTTTTTACCCGATTGCGCGATGCAAAGGAGGGTAAAGTGTTTATCAATCTATGTGTGTATGTTTGTTCCTATGTGGCGTTCTAGAGACCGATTTTGATGATTGATACGTCGTTAGATTCGTCTTAATTACCCGAGTGTCACAGGTTATATAAATTAAAATGGCGGATTTCAGGCGCCAATTTGTGTCTTTAAAAAAATATACTCTTCCAAGCCAATCGAGTAGGGTATCAAAATAAAGGTTTTTGAGAGGCGATCATAAATATATACAACTTATATGTTTAACCAAACCAAAATTATAAAATTGTAAAGCCGACTGCATAAAAGCTAACTAAAAGGATGAAAACAAGTTGACGAAGGTATTATGCAGTCGGAGACATACATACATATGGGCATACATCTTGCGGCACGGATAAAACGCCTGTCTCCGACTGCATAATACTTTATTCCTTCGTCAACATGTTTTCATATTTTTAGTTAGTTTTTATGCAGACGGGTTTTTTATTTTTATAACACACATATTTTTTTTGTCCTTAATAATACTAATGATGATTATTATTAATATAATCATCATTAATATTTCATATTCGTTCATAAATTTAAGGTTTATATTTAAGGTTAACTTATCGTCGGCTTAAAGTTAAACGGGGATAACTAAATTTGTTATTAATTATTTAAAAATAAAAGAATGGACCAACATCCACTACATATCTGAAATATATAGTTTAATTTTAGTTCATGATTAGATATAGATATACGAGCCAAAGAAGGAAATACATATAAAAAAGTCTTACTGCTCTAGTAGGCTTGATAAGTAACCATTCTGATTTCATAAGAAATGTAAAAGTAACACGTCATTGAATACATATTACGTATGTACTATTTCTTATTACTACTTACTCCGTTTTAAATAAAACTATCTTTTCGGATTTTGTCGCGGATTTTTCCGCGACAAAATCCGACTTACTCCGTTTTCAATTCGTTAAAAAATTTAAACCTATAATGTAATATTTACATAATTATAATATAAAAAACATAATTGGGATACTTTTAGAATTTAAATATAAAAAGAACGTTAGCGACAAACGCACCTAATTCGATAATAGCATAAGCAATGGTAGTAAAAACATGAACAAAGCTACCAAATAACGGAGTGAAACTATAATTAAGAAAGATAAATATCGTTTATTACTGTTAGGAAAGTCGTTTAGAAAAAACTACCCCTTTCACCCCACAATTTGTAACCCGTTGCCCGATGCCGTGCAGTGGGCGCCGCGCCGTGCCGCCGACACGCATAAAAACCTACTAAGCTCAAATATATGGATAGACCCTTTCAATATTTACAAAAAAAAATCATATTACGTCTTTAAAATAATTATAGAAAATTAGAAATAAATCTTTATATATTACCAACCTTAACCTTAATTGTATTAAATGTAAGAAAATTTTAAGCTCTTTGCGAAAGCTTAATATGAATTTTGATATCATCAGTTTTAATTTTTTCAAACGGTTAAATTATGGAAACTAAATAGGTAATATACAAAATTGTATATACGTTGCGTATTCATTATTGCGAAAAATCATTATTTCGTGTCAACTACGGAAATGAAAATAATAAAAGTAGACTCCATACTTTATACCACTAGTAAAAAAAATGCTACAGTTACATAACGCTTTTCCATAATAATAGAATCATTATCGAAAAACAGAAGAGTGGGCAGCTGATTTATTAGACGATAATGGACGCTGTCATAAATAGCTTTTTTATAACAAATTCATGTTTGAGTCATGCGTTCAAACAGCCGGCATACAGCTCCATTAATTTTTATACGCAAATTAAAGTTATTAAAAAAAATTGGAAGACATTATTAGTTTATGAAGAAAAATTAATTAAACTTTGCAACTTTGCAAAGTTTGCAACTATGTATTTAATATGCTATCAATAACTAGCTTTGGTCTACGTTTGGTCCTTCGCTAGTATACATACTTACATATAATGTTCCGTTCCACGGGAACGTCTTTTCTTTTTCAAGAAAACTTTCAACTTTCTATTGTGAACAAGAAAAGAAGCTATATTAATCTCGCCCGAATGTTTATACTTTAAAATCATTTTAAATAAAACTATCTTTTCGAATTGTTACGCGAATTTGGTGGTTTGGGGAACCAAAAATCCAAATAAATTCGCGAAAAAATCCGAAAAGATAGTTTTATTTAAAATGTCAAATATTCGCGTAAATCTAAAAAACTTTAAAATCAGTTCAGCGTTCTAATGAAGTTTAAATTTTACATAACAATAATTATTAATTGCCTATAACATTATTTGCTCTATATATTTTATAATATTACTAAACATTAAAGTTATTTTTATTAACAACTATTATACTATATTAATATATTATATACCTACTTCAATATAGTATGATTAAAATTTAAATTTCGTTTTCACACTTAATTTTGCGCTGTAAACTTAAAGTCCAAATGAACTATGTCAATATGTCGGTCACATATGCCGGGCGACCTTGACGAATGCACGAGAGTTGAATAGCAATCGTATCGTGATTTATTAGTCGGCGAGCAAACAAATATTAGCTGGAGAGTGGCGGGCGCGGGCGCGCAGTGAAGCCGACGCGTTTTACTCACGCAATATTTTTCAATTTCGCTACATCTACTTAAAATGACTTAAAATTCAGCGATTCCCCGTTGAAAAAAAGAGTTAATATTGATCGTAGATTTCTCGTCGTGGGGTGCAGCGGCCGGCTGAGTCACCCCACGGTTTTTTAACTCACCCTAAGTTATATTTTTTGTAAAGCCCCCCTCGCCCTCCCGGCCCGCTTTAAAGGATGAGTAGTCTCTATGGAAACGGCTCGATCTAATTTATAGCCCGAAGAAAGTACGAATTGCTTAATTAAGAATTTAAAATGTGTCTACTGAGCAATTAATTAAAAATTTCGAATCTGCGAATTTAGAGCCTACGATATTTTCCTACCATAATAATTCTCAATTCTGAGCGCTGAAACTGGAACTTAATTAAAAACGGAAAAGCGGTAATTTGATTTTCATGAAATTATTAAACAAGGAACTAGAAGAGGACAAAATAATTCTTGAAATCTAATAAAGCTACTGTAAAAATGTGATGTTTTATAATAAAATTATAGATAAATCATTAATATTATAATGCTTATGCTCCATGTGACGGGATTAATATTTACTTTGTACGACGTTGTCGGCTTATGAATACGCAAGGGTTGTTTAGCGTGGGTGAAGCTCGTGAGTAGTGAGGCCACGGGCGATCCGCTGTGGGTTACGAGCCGGCCGCGCTCGAGCAGCGTGGGGGTCAGACAGAGCGCGGGAGCGCACGACAGTTGGCGTGTTTTTGCTCGCTCAACACTTACTTTACCACTATAAACGCCAGCGCACATCACTTCAGGTATGTTTTTATTAATTTCTTATAAGAAAATATCAAATTTCATATCTTTCTTTAGAATAATATATACATTTGACGAGATAACATAACAAAGGTCGCAGGTTCAATTTCCGTACAAGGACAAAATTTGTATTCACTTTACGATCATACTTTATACGCAGATATTTAGATTCTTACCGGTTAAGTTTTGTATCGGAGCATTTTTTTATCTCTACGCTATAGGTTGTGGGTTCAATTTCCGATCCTGATAAATATTTATATTTGCTACAGAAGTATTTGTCGCGGTCGAAGTATATGTCCGTATCTTTATCTGTTTACCTATCCGCAACAAAGGGCAACCCAGTTGAAGTCGTTAAGCCTGCAGCATTATTTTTTTATTTATCCTAGTAAGTAAGATAAATTACTTTATAACTTAATGCAATGTAGTATCCCTGAAAAAAAACTAATTGTTTGTATTTTAAATTACTTGCTTAATTAAATAAATATATATACATACTAGTATTTTAACATTTGTTTTAAGAAACTTACATTATTCATTTCGATTAACAGATAGATATTTTGCTAATTTTAATATACTAATTTCTATAATAATGAATTTATAATTAATTAATAACAATTATGCAATAGTACGTAAATAAGAAATGCTTTCTAGAAAGGTTTCTAGAATTAACAAGATAGATAGTGTACGGCTTATATTTGCGACTTATTTGCTGGCCTTGCTGATCCTTATAATTAGATAGTGTGGGTAAGGCGAAAAAAAACAATGGCGACGATGATGCCTAATGAGCCATAAAGAAGAAAACGATACGTAGAGCAAGGCGTAGACAAAAAGGGCGCGGCAAGAGTGAGGACAGTGCGGGGGGCGCGAGGAAATGGCGGGAGAGCTAAATTAATTTGCGCGCTCCCGCCAAACAAAGGCACGCTAATGGAACGCGGCGAATGGAAAAAATGCCACCGTCCGCTCTCTGGCGACTTATTTTTTTTTTTTGCAAAAACAACCTTTGACTTTCCCAAATGAATAACATTACACCCGTCGAAGTCTGTCAATGGCCGCATTGTTTAGATTTAATGAAGAACATCAAGCGATATGGGCTTGACACAATTGCTAATTGTTTTTTTTTATTTTATGTTCAAGTGTCGTTATCTTTTAGAATATTTTTTTTTAATGTAAACTTCGTTTTTACGGCCAATATTTTCAGTTTGATTGTTACAAGTTTGAATATAATAAAAAGTTAATAATATGCACATTGTACTTACTTAATTTATAATGTGTAAATAGTGTCGAGATTATTCAATCAATTTCAATGCAATGCAATCGCATTACATTGCATAGATAATAAGTTTTTATATTTGCTCCTCATACTAAAGAATTATATAGCCGGAGTCCGCCAAAATAAATATCGAAATTAAAAATATGTAGTAGCATCATTTATGTTTATGTTATTATTTCTAATTTTTCCATACAGATCATTTACTTTATCTTTTTATATGTATTGGTTTAATTTAATTAATTTACAATTTCTGAGAATAAAATATGAATAATAAAAATAATACTATATTTATTTTTTTATTTTTTAACGGTTAGTTCTCTCTCCCTTAAAAGAGCTTATATATATATTTTTTTCTTTATTATAATAAAAACCAATTATATGCTGTATTATATTATTTATTTATTAACATTTATTTAATTATCACTTGGTATACAAATTGTTATTTATATAATACATTTAAAGCATTATTGTTTGAGTTCTTGTTTAGTTCTGTGACACTGTATTTAGTATTCCTTAGTATGACATTTATACAAAGTAAGCACAAAAGTCAAGTAAGAAGAAGTTGTAGTTTAATTCAAGTCATAAAAATGTAATCACGTTCATTATAGAGAGTTCTACCTCCAGACATTATCTCGCGTTATCAGAGAGTCACGAGCTGCCGGAAACAATGAGCGATGTTTATCTAAATGTACTAAGTTACGGCTCGCCATTTTGTCATGAAATAATATTAATGTGTCGCCATTAGATATGCTCGCACGATTTATGAGTGCCCAATTAAAAGTTCCGAGCGCTGAAGACTTAAAATTAGTGGAATTGGCTAACATTTATCAAGACATCAACGTTGCCTCGCGCAACGCGAAACTTCCAAAATTTAAATTAGAGACGATTTTTACAGCTACCTCCCGAAGGGGGTGGGGGGGTGTGCTACCCTTTCCTTATAACGAGGAAGGCCTCATGCATTTTTATGTGCTTCTTTTTTTCGTCGGCGTTTTAAACAAGGGGGTGAGCTTAGGGAGGCTGGGGGTGAACTTTTTTATTCGCGTCTTGATAAGTTAGGGTTGAAATTAGACGTTCGAGTTTCGCTCGCGGAATTCATAATGACTAAAATTAATAAGTTTTCCTTGGAGGGTTCTTGGAACTGCGATACGATCGAACATGATTTTCTACTTGCGTAATGCCGCCAACGAAAATGTTACTTAAGTCAACAATTTTTTTTTCATTTAGGTAGTTATTACAAAAATATAAAAACAATATAAGTAAATTATAGGCCTATGAATAGAGGTTACTAGTTTCCGATACGTCAAGTGATTCCCGTGGGATGTGAGTATTGAGTATATTACAAAGTTAAAAGTAATGTTAATGACAAATCAAGGATAATTACGAAAAATATAGGTATATTGGTCCCAGGTACTACGAGTATATAGGTATGTTGTACCTACATTGTACATAATATACCTACATAGTACATACTAGCGACTCACCCTCGCTTGCCTTGCCTTGTTTCCTAATAGAAAGGTTCATCCCCATTTTCACCCCCTTAAGGGATGATTTCCGGGATAAAAAGTATCCTATGTCCTTCCCTGGGTCTCAAACTATCATCTGACCAAATTTTATCTAAATCAGTTTAATAGATCCAGATATTACCCCCTACAACGTCACAAACTCACAAACTCACAAAATTTACCTCTTTATAATATTAGTATAGATGAACTATCGTATAGATCTACGGAAGGTGAATGATGAAGCGATTAATGTATACTCTCACAAATTAAGATTTTCTTTTAAAATTTACAATCTACAAATGTTATTGTAATAATTTCAAATCGCAATTTTTAATAGAAGTTGATGTAGAGCTTTGATAAATAGTTCTTATAACTAGTTTTATTTCTTAGTTAAGTACGAGTAGTTCTTAGATATATACCTATATGTACCTATGTATTTAGTTGCAATTACAAAATACGTAAAAATTCTAGTTCTTTCTATGATTTACATTATATTCATTTCACCTATTTTTGGTGACACGTTTGGCTCAGTTTGTAGTGACCCTACTTGCTGTGCCAGCGGTCTCGTGTTCGAGTACCGCTGGGGACATTCATTTGCGTTATGAGCACTCATGTTTTGTACTCCAGTCATAAAATATTTACATATATACCAAAACATAAAAACACATAACACAGATGTTACTAAGCATTTAACAAAACAAGGCATCGACTTCGAAAATATCTGATTAGGTAGGTATCTATTCTAAATGAAAACCCCCGTTTAGTTATTTTTTACATTTTAGTGCCTGGAAGTCGGTTTTTTAAGTTTTTATTTTTCCATTTTCGTATTATAAGCAAGTAATTTGTAAGAATAAAGTTTTTTAATAACATATTCGATTAAATAATTTGTTTTAAAAAATAATTTATTGTTGATTTTTTTTTAAACCGCTGGACCGATTTCGATAAAATTTATCATTTACCACATTTACCTCCTGGGAAGTATTATTATACCCTTTGAAACAAAAAAAATACAAATCGGTTCAGGCGTCTTCGAGTAATCGGTGAACATACATAAAAAAAAGATTCCGACGAATTGAGAACCTTATTAAGAAATTTTTGGAAGTCGGTTAAAATACCTACACACCTACCTAATAAGTAGATAAATCAAATTTCAGTTTTAAAACTCCAATACATTATAAAAAAATTCAGAAATTTATTTAATCGATTTTTTTAATAATTAAATTCATTAAAATAAAAAACAAACACTTTTTATATTAGTTTTTTTTATAATATAAATGATTAAATTAAAATAAACACTGAGTAGTAAGTATTTTTTTTTAATTTGTAGGTAGGTACAGTATAGTTAAGTAGTGAATAATTACTAGGTACTTAATAATTAATGGCGATAAATAAATTGGTGCTCTTTAAAATTGTACACATTTAAATCAATTAACAAAAACTAAAGCAACTATTCAAGCATTTTCCCTCTATAAAAAAACGTTATCAAGAGTTTTGTATTATTTAAAATACACAAATAATAACAACGTAAGAATTTTAAACATTATATTCGGATATGTTACAAATTATAGTGGCACATAATTTTTTGGGACACCAAAGACGGGAATCAGGAAAGTAACGGCTAACGAGCGTTGAAGGTGAGGCAAGCACATGGGGACACTTGTTGATGCTCCGAGTGTGTGGGCATGCGCGCTAACACACCACTTGCTCACATGTGTAACATACACTGACTTGAGGGTTTGTAAAACTGTCGTTCTGCTGTTAATTGTATACTCGCAAAATATTTGTCGGCAATTTTAATCTATAACACTTTTTTAGAGTTACGCGAATATTTAATTTTAAATAAAACTATGTATATTTCAGTAAATCAGCGTATAATTCTGATTTATTTGCAATAATTAATATGCTAATTATGATTTATGAAGCATTTTTTGAATATTTCTTAAAATTAATTAATCTTTAACTTGGAACGGTAAAATTAATGAATGCCTATCATATTTAATCAACGTTAGTAGAATCAAAGAAAACTGGTGATTTAGATTTTCGCAATTATATCTGTAGCGGAGTCATTAGGGCAATCATTCCGGCTCGAAGCTGCCCGGAAGGGAGAGCTGCGACGTATTATAATTCGCGTCTAATAACGTCGTTAACAACGCACATTAAAACAAAACAAACAGCGGCGAGGCGCGGGCGCGGGCGGGCGCCATCCTTCCTCGAATCCGTGTCATTAATTTACGTAATGCGTAGGTACGCGCTATCCCCAAATATTTAAGAAGCCTCCTCCGGGAGCACCCGCTCCTCCACTATTCCTCCCTCCCCCCTCCCCCTCCCACAATTCGCCTGCCGAGAATTATGGCGGCCGCCTTGTAATTATATTTTTTAATTTATCTTCCTTAGCGAATACAATGGAGGCGCCACCCCGCCACCGAAGCGCTTCCTTCTCATGCTGAATATTGTATCAGGCCGCTGAAAAAAGGAAAGAAAGCTTTAATTACAAGCGAGAGCGCGGCCGGCATTACGCGTTAAATATTTGATGTTGTCTCTTTCTCGTCCTCTTGTCGCTAGCCACGGGCCGCGGGCCGCGGCCGCGCACTCCGCCGTCAATAATTAAAACACCTATCAACTCATTCCTCCTACACTGACCCCTCATTATCTACTTCCTAAATGGAAAAAATGTTAAAATATATAAAAGAACGCAGGACTCTAATTAAAGTGGCCCTAATAATAGCCAGGTAATAACTAGCTACTTTAACTGTAACTGTCTTCTATAAACTGTTTTATATATTAGAAAGGATCACCTAATTAACATGGCATTCCTAATCAACGTTGCATATCGCTATCATCATGATTATTGTTATTGGTTTTTTCTACAAATAGCAGCAAATATACTTAAGATTGAAAAATT